GTGGTTTTCATGTGTGGGGCCCCTCCACACACACACACACACACACACACACACACTCTCTCACACACTCTCACACACACACTCACTCATTCATTCACTCACTCACTCACTCACTCACTCACACACACACACACACTCATTCACTCACTTGCTCTCTCACACAAAGTGATGCACATTTCATCAGTGAATATGCGTTTCTCTCTTTTATAGTTTTTCTTGGCTCTAAAATGTTTCATCAGCTTCATTGCTCAGTGGCCAACCAATATTCTTATTAAATGTTTTTAAATATTCAATATAAAGCTAATATATATATCACATCACACTATTACGTTTTTACACTATTAAGTTTTTTTTAAGACACGTGCAAAATTGCTGAATTGATCATTATATTTATTTACTAAACTGTAAACAAATAATTTGAAAATGAAATTGATAAAAAAAATAAGTTATAAAATAATCATATTTATACTTTATATTGAAACTGATTCTCTAATCCTATTACAATATTTTTCACGAATAAAGACATTGTTAAAAATCTGGTAGTAATCTGATAAATCACTGGGGCTAATATTTTCTTGAATAAGACAAGATTATTATTGCTAATAATTGAGATACTTTAATTTAAAAAAAAAAGTTTAATCTGTGAGCAGTATTGAGTCGCTGGGGGATATTTGTAACAATAGCCAACAATACATTGTATGGGTCACAATTATACATTTCTCTTTTATGCCAAAAATCATTAGGATATTAAGTAAAGATCATGTTCCATGAAGATATTTTGTAAATGTCTTACTGTAAATATATCAAAACTTAATGTTTGATTAGTAATATGCATTGCTAAGAACTTCATTTGAACAACTTTAAAGATGATTTTCTCAATATTTAGATTTTTTTGCACCCTCAGATTCCAGATTTTCAAATAGTTGTATCTCAGCCAAATATTGTCCGATCCTTACAAACTATACATCAATGGAAAGATTATTTATTCAGCTTTCAGTTGATGCATAAATCTCAATTTCAAAAAATGTATCCTTGTGACTGGTTTTGTGCTCCAGTGTCACATATTGGGTGGTATATCACTTGCCCACTAGTTAGGTGTGATATAAGATTAATTGATTCAATTGTGTCAGTATTTTTCATAGGTCAAATGGTTCACGAATTGGTCAAAATGAGTTTGAATTCACCCAGTTTATCACAAACAACTGGACTGATATTGGATGTTCATTGGGTAAAAACATGACCCGCTCAGTCTGACTGTGAGTGTCCGTCCGCAGGGTCGCGAGGCGATGGAGTGGGTGATCAGACGTCTGAACACAGAGATCGAGGAGCTCGCCATCACAGCCAGAGGAACCCTGAGGACACCTATGGCCGCCGCCGCCGTCACCGAGAAATGACCGCCTTCCTCTCTGTCGCCGCTCTTCTCCACGCATCTTTCTCGGCGTCCTGCGCATTCAAGCGTCTACATTAGAGGCTGACGGGGACGTCTGGCGGCGGGCGGAGAGACGGCCTGAGCTTTAACATCGACCGACAAACTCTCAAACCTAGTTTTAATGAATTAGTATAACGGGACACACACATGCTCTCTGATGTAATGAGTGTCAAGCGACTCTTACGCTTCACCAGCACTCACACATTTAATTGTTTTACTAGTAACACTTAATCCAAGCATCAAGGAAGGGAACAAACTAATCCAGACTTGATTTGAAGAGGACCATCGCGGATGTTCAGTGGATTCTTCAGAACCTGAACTCATTAGAAAACCACTCGGACACTGAGCACTGACGGGATGATGGTGAACGAACCGACAGAACGTCACATCTTCATCAAGCATGCTCCGTGTACTGTTAAACATCTCCTGCCCTCAGTAGTGAACACGTGTGCACTTGCTGTGACTGTAAGTGAAAAGGAGGACTGATGTGATGTTGGATCCAGACGTGAGGTGAAATGTGCGTTTTTTGAGGAGGGTGAAATACATTCTATTTATTTATTTATATTTTGTAGTTTAATGTTATTTCATGCATCCACAAATCACAGCTTCTGCATCTTCAGCATCAGCGACTGGAGAGCGGTACTAAAGTTCAGTAGTGAAGGTGACGGTGAAGATGCTTCAGCACAGAAACCTGTCCAGCTTTTACAGAGGCTTGTGTTTTTCCTTCTCGGCTGAAATGGCGTCGGAGATCTTCTGTATGTTTGGTTTACTTCAGTTTGACCAACTCGAATAAAACAACTGCATTTAAACGACCTGATTAGGGTCATATTATTAAATGGTTAAATGTGTTATGAATCAGTTCTGGTCAAACTAATTTTGTCCTGTTTTATTAACCGTTTTGGAGGACTTTGAAAATGGTTCGATGGAAAGAAAAGTTGCGAGAGATTTCTGGGTGGTAGGATTAGTTGAATAAATAAAATAATTTCTTTGATGACAGAATGAAACGTGCAGCTTCTTTCAGCAAAAAAACAGTGCTTCTGAATTATGTTTGATCTAAAAAAGTATTTTATAACGATGTACACTGCTTCATGTTGTTTGGGAAGCTGTGATGCATTTTTCAAGATTCTTCGATGAATAAAAAGTTAAAAAGAACAGCATTCACTTAAAATAGAAATCTTTTCTAACAATACACACTTTATTTTTCTTTATTCTTTCTATTTTTGAAAGAAATTAATACTTTTATTCAGCAAAGACGTGTTAAATTGATAAAAAAAGTGACAGTGAAGACATTGTTAGAAAAGATTTATATATTTTTTTTTACTTTTTATTCATCAAAGAATCTTGAAAAATGCATCACAGCTTCCAAAAACAGTTCCCAGCTCTGAGAATAAATCAGCGTATTATTCTGATTTCTGAAGATCACTGAAGACTGGAGCAATGATGCTGAAAATACAGCTTTGATCACAGAAATAAATTACAGTTTAACACATATTCACATAGAAAACAGCTGTTTTACATTAGAATAATATTTCACATTTTTACTGTATTTTTCCTGTATTTTGATCAAATAAATGCAGCCTCGATGAGCAAAAGAGACGTCTTTAAAAAAACAATTCTTACGGATCCCAAGCTTTTGAATGGCAGTGTATATAATATATATATATATTCCTATTTAATTTTTTTTCACATATATATACAATGAGCTTCTGCCTGAAATTAATTTCATGTTAGCTAACTTTGATTCTATCGTCTTGAACTGTTAATTTGTGATTGGTGCATTACTTTGACACATTCACTTCTGATAACAGATTGCTCTGAGTTATGTTTTCGTGCATTTTCTGTAAAGCTGTGTTTTGTGAAAAGCGCTGTACAAAAAATTTAAAATACAAATTGAATGAATATATATATATATGTGGAAAAAATAGAAAACATGCCTTTGAAATAAATTTATATATTTTTTTAGTTATTTTTGCATTGAAATATAAAAATTGAATGTGATATTTAATTTTAAATGTAATATATTTTAATATAATATAGTGCAACCTGTACTTTTGGCTCACGCCCCTGAATCTAATGTGAGTTTGGCATCTTCAGGCGTATATAGAGTAATACACTAGAGTATAAAATATAATATATTCTGTAAAGTGTGTGATGATCTTTGGCGCCACCTACTGGTCATTTACAACCATGCGTTTTCACGGCTGCGCTTGCGTCACACGACGAATTCTCCAGCAACCAATAGGATTCCAGTTTACAGCTCCATCTGACCAATCAAAATCAGATAATATTTAAAGGTATTTAAAAGTGGGCTGTTTGAAATTAAACGGACCAGACTCGCAGCCGCTGAGGAGCGTCGCTTCGTCCTCTCCAGGAATAAACATAAATAAATACATATTCTCAATATTAAATAGCGCACACGGCTGGTTTAGCGAATGGTTACAGGTTATTAATAACACGGCGAGCTGGAAATCATCGCGTTACTGTCGACTAAACGCTGTATTATTGACATTCATTTCTTTAAAGCTGTTCATTTGAAAAGGTTCGTTGTTTTAAATAGATTTGAGTTTCAGCATGCGTTTTGATGGGAGCGTTAGTGTGGACGGGTGCCGTCAGGCCTCACTCGTTATATTAGTTCTTTACTGGACTGAATGTGTACTTTAGTTATTTATTTGATTTGTTGTGATGCGTTTATTATATGTATTCAAATAATATGTCGTTGTTTGAACTCAGAATATGGAAACTGCTGCAAGAACCAAATCGATCCAACCTCCTGAAAACGAGAAGGTATTTAACACTATATTGTTATAAACTTGTGTGTTTATTCTCTAGAAGTCTGCATACTGTGTGTTTTATATGCGTTGTGCAATCGTCTATCAACCGAAATCATAATTTGAATATTTAAATAATATTATATTTAATGTTTTTTCCTGTAACAAACTAGTTTTCATTTGTTGTCTGTATGCATGCTACATTTCGTGCTCAGCTCTGTATGCGCGCGAAATAGTACGCTTTTATTTGTGACCAGGCGGCTTGAAAATGACAGAAAAAAAAAAAAAATCTTTGATGCAATGAAACATGCCGCTTTTTCTATTTTATTTATTTGGTTCCAAAAAAGGGAAAGATGTACGTTAATCAACATTCATGAACGTAAACGTACACAAATTAGCTCAACGGCTAGTTTTCATTGGTAGTCGCTTTACCAGATGTTAATTAATCCAATTTTGGTACCGAAGCAAAACACAAAAACATGCTAATTACAAATATTTGTCTATACGTTCGTTTAATCCAAACTGTGTACATAGTTAATAATAAAGGGCTTTTAAACCCTTCTAGAGTTATTCAGCCAGCAATAACAACTGAGTTAGCTAAAAAAAGCCCGGAACTGCTTTTCTGACGGATATGACACTAACAATGTTAACCATATTTTAGATTCACAATTAATTTAAAAGCCTCTGGTGTGTAAAAATGGTAAATATCATCATGTCCTCCTGTTTTTAAAAGTTATAGGAGCACTAAATAGCTAATAAAGAAACTTAATTCTAATGCTCATTATGCTTATGCTAACGATTAACTACTCTAATAACCTTTATTTGACCCTCTAACTCTAGCACTTTCTTATTCTATTTTATCTATATTTATCTTTTTTTTTTTATTTAAAAAACAAAACACTAGCTTTCTATTTTTTTCTATTCTATCTACTTGTTTTTGTGTGAGTG